TTCATTTCTAATCGTGTTCATTCCTAATTGTGCTCGTTTCTAATTGTTCCTGGCCCCCCTAGTGGCCAGGAAGAGGCCCAGGATAGAACAACTAGAAATGAAAGGATCTTGGCCCCAGAACAAATCAAGAGCTGCCGAATAAGTAGAAACGTTCAGTGTGTACGAACCACACCACAGGTGTGACAACAATCGCTCGCCCAGGGTGTCACGCTCGTTGGACCCGGGGCCACGACGAGAACGGCCAGAGCGCCCCATGAACTTGCCCGAGACGGCCCTTCGCCTTCGCTTTCGGGGAGCCCTCGCGCCAACAGTTGCCTCGCGCCACCGCTCCCTCTTGTTGAGAGTCTTGGTGCTAGGAGCTCTTTGCGTCGCCGCTCGCTCTCGGGGAGCCTTGGCGTCAAGAGCTTTCTGCGGCACTGCTCGCTCTTGTGAGCCTTGGCGTTCAGAGCTTTTTGTGCCACCGGCTAAAGATCAACAAGGGTTTGCTTCCGCCCCCTGGAGCTCTTGGGAACCTTGGCGTCACAGCTGTGTCCGTCCCTGGGGGCGGAGGCCTTTGCGTCAAATCTGAGTCCGTCACTGGGCTGTCATGGAGCGTTCCTGGGGGGCGCTCTGAGCATCTCTTGGAGGCATCCTGGGGGTCTCTTGGGGGTCTCTTGGGGGCCTTCTGGGCCGTCTTGGGATCTTGTCAAAGCATCTGGAGCAGTCGTGGTCCCTCGTGTGCCGTCTTGGGGCTCTGTTGGGCCTCCGGGGCCGTCTTGAAGCCCTCTCGGACGCACTGTTGGGGCTCCGTCGCGAGGCTCTCGTGGGACGTCTTGGGTCCTCTTGGGCCGCCCTGGAGCCCTCTTGGGGGTCTCTTGGGCCGTCTTAGGGGCCATCTGGAAGGCTCCTGGGGCCATCCTGAGCGATCGGAGGATCCTCACAAATACGTGGAACATAACTTTGTTTTGCCTCGCACAGCCCTCTTCGAGGTCTCTTGGCACCATCTTGGGGTATCTTGGGGACCTCTTGGGCCGCCTGGAGGCTTTCTTGAGCCCTCTTGGATCGTTCTTGGACCGTCTTGGGCCTCTCTTGGGCAGTTGTACGGACATCTGAGGCCGTATTATGGCCTCTTGGGCCGTCTTGGGGGCTTACTGGCCGCTCTTGGGCCCACTGGGACCGCCTTGGCCGAAAGGACGGCGTGTTACGACCCTTTTCGCTCCTACCCTCACCCCTTCCCCAGAAGGCTTTTCGCCCCACTAGAACGTCATCACTCATCTCCGTCAGGGCGTCCGAAGCCGTATTGAAGGTCTCTTGTGCCGCCTTGGAGACTTCTCTTCGGGCTTCCGACAGTCCAAGACAGCCCCAGAAGTCCCCAACATGGCCCCAATACGGCCCAAGGGGTCGCCAAGATAGCCCACGAGGCCCCCAAGACGCCGCCCCCCCCCCAGAAGACCCCCAGCCGGCCCAAGAGACTTCCCAACAAGACTACCAAGATGGCCAAGCAGATTTCCTCCCAAGGCCAAGAGGCCCCCAGAAAGTTCCCTCGAGGCCCCAAGATGTCCCCAGGACGCCCCCAGGATGCCCCCAAAGACCACACGAGGCTTCCTCTTTTTCCTCCTCCTCCTCCTCCTCCTCCTCCTCCTCCTCCTCCTCCTCCTCCTCCTCCTCCTCCTCCTCCTCTCTCTACTCATCCTCGCTCTCTTCCTCTTCCACTGCTGGGGGAAAGCATGGTCCAATATATTGGCAATACTTCGGCCCAACGTGTGGCCACCTCGGCGTTTCCAAGAGGCAGGCGGCAACTGTGGTTCTCCGCCAGCGTCGTCGATACATACTAGCAACAAGAAGAGATGGCCTGCCTTGATAGAGCCGATACCTTGGCATTTCGCCCTGTGCGGAGGCCAGCGGAAGCTCAGTATTGGCCGCTTCGCCAGTGCGGGCCAACGGATGTCCCGCGAGGGCAAACTCGATCCCCCACGAGAGGTCAACGCGGGCGCGCTCATGGGCCGTGTGATTTCCCTGTCCCAGGGCCAGGAAGTGCTGGGAGGCGGTCACGGCAGTGGGCAGCTGAGTGGTGAGCAGATGGCGACTGTCTAAGCTCAGCTCAGGCGTCTGCGTTTTTCTGACGCTTCGCTCGGACAACCCTTTTCTCCGAGGCTTGCGTGACCAATTCGCGACCGACCGAGGCCCAGACTACGAACACATTCGCAGCCTAGTTCTCATCTAAAGTAAGAGGCGGCCAGTATCTGAGGATTGGCCCTCTGCGACGCGTGGACCCTTGGGGGCGCAATGGTGCGATGAATCGGCAATCCCTGAGCACAGAGTGCAATCGAACAGTCGAAAGGGATAGAGGCGCTTGAGCCAAACTCAGGTCTGGTAGACTTGACGGGCTGCCTGGAGGTCTTCCAGGTGAGCTTATTCATCAGGCGAGCGCGCTGCTAGAGCCAGAGCAAAGGTTCCCAAGGGCTTCGATTAATGCCCGACTGCGATAATGTACGCCAATCCACTCCACGCAACTCGACGCAAGGCAAACCAAGTAATATGCCGTCTGACGCATCACAACGAACATTGGAAACGAAGGCCCTTCCATCCGTTCCCACTGATGACATTCCCGCTGCCAAGCGTGAACATGACAAATGCTCTACATGTGACGTCCCAAGATAACATGCACACGTTATCCCATACGTGCTGGGGGCGCTGCAGCGGTAAAAAAGATCGGTTGCGAAATTACCGCGAACATGCCATCCTGAATGGCGACAAGAAAGACAAGGCCACATCGACCTCTGGAGTCTCGCCAGGCAGCGCGGCCACCACAACCTCGGGGGGTGGGGGTGGGGGGAAACTGTGCAAATCTGAAATTTGCACAGCGCTCATTCAGGCTCATGGGTGAAAGTAGTGGGAATCACGTGATGAAGTGCAATCTGCCAACTGGCTGTTCGGCCCCGAATTCTTAAGACTCGCTTCTCTTTGCTACCAGGCGTCTCTTCAAGAACCGCCCAACAGCATGCCTCAAACTCTCTCCAAGCCAACACCAAATGCCATGATTTCGCATGATCCGTTAATTTCCACAATGCCCCCCCACGTGGCGACGCCACGTTCCAAGTCAAGTGATGGCGTTTTCAGGGCAAATCGGGCGCTGGTTGGATGCCACGCGGACGCGACGAGACCTGTACGCACATGATGCACAAACACTTGGCGAGCACCGCTCACCAGGTGCTGCGTTAGACAAACGGATACCAAGTCTTATCTAGCGGGCGACGAACGATCCAACACATTTTTGTTCCGCCATCGGGGGCGCTTGTCCGTGGGCGGCTGGAAGGTTCATACCCCCCTTGCCAGCGTAAGGGTTTAAAATTCCCAGCCGCCCTGAAACTGGCGCCCCCGTCAGCGGAACAGTTTGTCTTGCATCGTTCATCGCCAGCAAACTTGTGGAAATAACTACCAACCAAAGAGTTCCCCGTCCCCCCTGGCCAAACCTTTGAGGCAACTACATGCGCGCCAACACTTCCTGGCAGCAGCGCTGGCAGCGGCATGACCGCCGAACGCGAGACTGCACGTTTGGCAAAACGAAAGGAGGCGCCCTTATCCGGGCGGCAAGCGCGCCCAACCTGCTGGCCTCCAGGAAGGCCAGGTTGCTGAGCAGGTGTGCGACGCCGGAGACACATGACATGCCAGGGCTCGAGCCTAACAGCGTTTTACGTGCTCGTTCTGTTTTCGTTCTCCTTCGTTATTATGTCTTCGTTCTGCCTTCGCTTGCGAAATGAAATCAAAACGAAAATGGTCCACGAGATCGCCAGAACACCGTTTAGTTCGAGCCCTGTGACTAGCATTAGCGCCGCTGTGTGGCGATCCAGAAACGGCCTTGCCTTCGAGGGTCGAAGGAGTGGTCATCTCTTCCCGGGCGGAAGGCGGCGGAAGCGCGGCGGAAGTAAAGCGAGGGCGCCTCCACTGGCAGAAGGCGGCAGAAGGCCAGCGGAAGCCTGCGGAAGAGAAGATGCATCCGCCAGGAGATGGAAACGCTTTTGGGTTCAGGGCTCTCGGAATCCGCCGCATGTGGACAGTGGGCAAGCTGACGTAGTACAGTCCGGGCGCTGACCTAAGGAACCCCAAATAAGGAACGAGGCCCCCTTTCTCCAGAAGTTAAACTTCGATTCCCCATCGAAAACCTTGGGAAAACCTAAGGCAAGCTGTGAAACAATCAAGGAACACGGAGCCCCTCCCCAATGAAAAGGGTTCCTTCTTCAAGACCCCTACTGTGCCTGCATGTCCTTCAGTTCATGAGGGAACGTTACTCCCTCCACGAAAAGCAAAGGCGAGCTGTGCGCAAACCTCGGCAGGCGACGAGCACGGGGGGCCAGCAGGGCGGCCGAGCGGGACGGCCATGGAGCTCCGGAAGCCCAGCTCGCCTCGCCCCTCCGGCGTGGCGCTGGGCGCGGGAGCGACACCACGGGCAAGTCCACGAAGCTGGTCCAGCGCTCCCACCACGCCCCTCCGATGCCATCTCTGGGTGTGGGCGCAGCGCCGCGGCCACGTCCGCGCTCCTGCCCCCCCCCCGTTCGCCCTCCCCTCGACCGTCGTCGCCGCCACCGCAGCAATCGTCGTCCCATGCTCCGACCTGGGCATCCGACACGTTTTTCCAAGGCGCGGCCCCAGAGGTCCCGACCCCTTCCCAGGGCCTGGCCCTTCGTCCTGGATTCCTGCTTGCTGATCCTGGCGCCCCCAAAGATCGAAATCCAGGATAAACGCCCGCATTGAACACCAAACAACCATACCGTCGAGGATCTGGGGATGCCTCGCTGCCCCACCGAACCGCCGCCCGGTGCCTCTCGCCGCCCCGCGGCGGAACGGCGGGCGCCGGGGCGCAGAGCGGGCCCGGGCCTGCTCCTCGCAGGGGTCGTCGTCCTCCTCGGCCATGCCGGCGGCCAGAGCTCCGGCCGCGCGGGCCGGTCCCCACAGCCAGGGGGGCGGGGGGGCGGCAGGTGCGCGCCCAGGCCTCCCAGAGGCCTCGGCGCGGGCCGAGGCGCGAGGGCGCGGGCGGGCAGAGCGCAGCGCGGGGCGGCGCGAGGCCGCGCGGAGGCCTCCGTGGCGGCCCTCGGAGGCCCGCCGAAGGCCCTCGGCGGCCGCCCCGGAGAGCCCTCGGCAGGGGCCCTCGAGCTCGCGCGCGCGGGGGGAGGCCGGGGTCTTCGGGCCCCTGGCGCGGGGGAAGCTGCGGGGCAGAGGAGGGGGCTGCAGTCAGCGGGAGCGTCGGACAGGTGGGCTCGCGTCGGCGGCCTGTTGACGTCCTCACGCGAGCGCGGCGTCGGGCTTCTGCTCGCTGGGCAGCAGGCTGTTCCGCAGCACCCCGGCTCGATGCGGCACGTACGGATCAAGGCCAGTGGGCCCACATAACGAGACGTGACTCGGGGGCGAAAGGCCCTGCAGGTCGTGCGCTCTGTACACAATCTTTCTCTACCGGTCAACACATTTAGCCGAGGCGCAAGGAAGCATTTTATACAACAGGCATAAACTGTCTTGGTCGGCCAACAGCTGAAACCATGCAGGCGCAAGCCACCTCGTGACAAAATACTACAAAGAGAAAACTGTATTGCGACATTGCTTGGCCACTTCTACGGACATATCTGCCTTGTTGCACTATCTGGCCACATCTGGCCAGGCCAGTTGGCCTCTGCCGCGGCAGTCCCCCCGATGGGCATCGGAGAGGCTTCGCTCATGTGGCCCTCAGGATTCGCGAAACCATAGCTGGCAGTGCGGGGCACCTGACTTCGTAGACGTCAGGGAATTCGCAGGATTGAAATGTCTAGGCTCATCGTCACGCACAAGCGGGACTCCCCTTGTGGGAGACCTAGATAATAAGGCTCGAACGCAAGCCCGAACCGAAACACTTGATTCGGCGGAAATGCAACAGCCCTCGGAGAAACAACAATTACAAGTGGCGATTCAGCTCGAACCAGTCCGCAGCAGTGTTTACGGCCGGAAAGAGCCAGCGGCGCCAGAAGCGGGAGAGGCAGAGCAAGGGACCAGCTCTGTCTGAAAGGTCTGTGGGGGACGCTCCCCAGAGAGAACAGCGCGCTGGCGCCCAGTGTGGCACCCCAAGCGCAAAAGAAACAGTGTGCGCATGCGGCGCGGGATCCCTGGAGGAGCCGGAGAGATGAGACCCGTCGCCCGCAGGGCATGGAGGAGGAAGACGGGAAGGGCGCGAGCGGCGTGCGCGGAGGGGGAGGGGACGGAGGAGCAGCGGCAGCCGCACCGGGAGCCAGGCCCGAGCTGCGCAGCAGCCCCTGCCGCAGCGCAGGGGGGCTCACGCCAGCTCGCCAGGCAAGGAGGTGCTCTCTGCCTCCGAGTGCCACTGGGGCACGGTGATCCAGCTGCTCGAGGACTCTCTGCACTCGCCTGGGGGAGCAAACAACTGGCGCACGCACACCTTCGGAGGTCCGCGCAGATTTCTTTGATCTGCGCTGGGCCCCCCCGTGGCGGCACCTCCAGCGCCGCCCATAGCGGGGGGGGCCAGCTCCGCTTCAAGACATCCGTGCAGACCTCCGACAATTCATGCTCATGGCGTTTCCTCTTATTCCAGTATCGGCGGTGGACAAACCTCCCTTTAGCAAACCACCCTTTAGTGAAAACGGCCTGGGACCGAAACCGACGGACCTGGACCCGCAAAAATGACGGCCGCGACGCCCTCTCGCTAACCGACAACGGTCAATTCGCTAATCGACGTGTCAGGGTAGGAGGTCTATCAATCTCCGAAAGTACCGTGCGAAGCTGAACTGCTGCCCGCGGTTGTGGACTTCGACGAAGCTGACCTGCTGCCGTGCCGCCGGCTGTCCGCGTGCTGGAACCACGGGTGCCGAAGCGCCCCGGCGGCCGATGGGCGCTCGCTGGCGTCGGAGGCCAGTAGCTTCTTCACAAGGTCTCGGGCGTCTGGCAACTGGTCCAGCGGAGGCTGCGTGAAGTCTACCCTCTCGCTCGTGAGGCGGTCCTGTATGCGCTTCATCGCGGGACTGCCGACCCAATTCTCGCCAGGCAGGGAATCGAATATCTCCCGCCTGGTTGGGAACCTGCCCGTCAGCAGCTTGTACATAATGACGCCGACGCCGTAGTTGTCCGACGCTGGCGAGTAGTCTCCAGAATAGGCCTCTGGGGCGATGTATCCAGCGGTGCCAACGACTACCTTGGCCTTTGGGCTCGTAGTCTCCCAGTCCTGAGCGGTGTCGAAGTCAATCAATTTCACTTGTGCGGACGTCGTGAAGCCGTTGGAGCTGACACTGCACATCCTGGGGGATGGCAAGTTCACCACGACATTTTCCAGCTTCAGATCCTTGTGTATCCTGCCACACGCATGCATCTCCTCGAGTGCTTGGAGCATCTGGAACAAGATCTGCCGCGCATCCTCCTGCCTGATCTGCCCTTGCTTCAAATGCTCGAACAAGTCCATCCCCTTGACCCGTTCCATGACAATGTAATACTTGTCCCGGGTCTCGTAGACTGCAATGTACTCGCACATGTTCTCGATCTTAGGCATGTTCAGCTGCGTCGTCGTCGTCTCTCGCCATTCGCGCTCATCCGCAGGCCCATGAAAGGATGCAGATTTGTCGCGCGTCTTCACCACCACCTCCTCGTTGCTGGACAGCCGCCTGCCGAGGATAACCTCTGCGCCGGGGTGTATGGACTCCATGACTTGTCCTTCCACCTCGTACATGCTGCGCAACTTGCTGTCGGATATCTTCGTAATTTCCTTCCGCGGCTGCCCCTGCTTACTGGCCTTCGGCGTGCGTATCCTCCAAAGTCTCGGCGCCGAATCGTCCTCGGGCCCAACCAAAGAGATGCTCAGAGTTTTGGTGCTGATGAAGGGGTTCATCTTCTTCATTTGATCCTTCAGGGCTCTCATGGCGGCTGAAGGCTGTCAGTCGCAGCTCCTTCGGGGTGCGACCGCAGCGAAAAACCAAGATCCCTCTTCGAGAGGGCTCACAGTAAAAAAAGATGCGGGGAATTATGTCCGCATGAATATTCGAATAAACCCAAACGCTGCGGAGTGGTCATGCACGTGATGATGTTGGGCCGATGCCCAGCCCGATGCCCAACTGAACAAGCGGGATTGCATTAACGATGTGCCCATAAGACCAGCCTGACGTCAGACAGGGAACCTCGGGGTGGCGGGATGTACGTTTGGCGAGATGCTGATAGCGACTGCATTATCTCATGTTCGCTGGCATCTGGTTCGCGACTCACCCCTGCTGCGAAATTCACCCATACCGGGCATCCCGGCCCACACTCGATTCTTGTCTCGTTTTCTTAGTTCAGCTGTTTCCGGCGGCCAGCCCTGAGCGAACCATTTCTGCCCGCGCGCGCGGATCGCACTTGAGCGCACAGTGTCCCCCACAAGACACACTGTCGACCGCCAGGAGGTACACTTAAGCACGATTGTGAAAACTGCCAGCCTCCCAATTCATGGTGTAGAATTCCACCATGCAAACATCGCCCAGAAGAGAAGATGTTGGCCAGCGTGGGCCCCTAAATAGTGTGATTCTAACAATGTACAGATTATCCTATATGCGTCTAGCGACCTATATAATGCAAGATGTGTGGAGCACTCTATGTTATGCTGCCTGTGTGGAGCAATTCTACGTGTTGCAATACAGGTGGAGGGGCAACCTATGTTTTACAATACATGAGGTGCAGCATATGTTGTGCAATATAGGTGGTGCAACTTCTGTGATGCAACCCATGTAATGCAATGGATGCTGCGCTATCTGTGTTGCGCAACGTATGTTGTGCAATTGATGTGGTGCAATAATCTCTGTTCGCAGTGAGTTGTCCACTCCACTGCTGACGCAAACATCCCACCCACCCACCCGCAACTTGGTTTGCAAACTCTCTTAAGACCGTGACGGTGGGTACCACATGGCACTTGGCAACAACAGCGACGCCGACGACGACAGCGACAACGACGACGACGACAACGACTACGACGACACCGACGACGTCTCCAACGACTTCGACGACGCCGACAACGACGACGACGACGACACCGACGATGACAACGACGACGACGACGCCGACGACGACGATGACGACGACACCGACGACGACGACGACGACGTCAACGACGCCGACGATTACGACGACGACGACGACGACGGCGGCGACGACGACGACGCCGACGTCGACGACGACGAAGGCGACGACGCCGACGCCGACGACGACGACGAAGACGACGACGACGTCGCCAACGAAGACGACGAGGGTGGAGGAAGGACGACGACGGCGACAACGACGATAACGACGACAACGACGAGGGAGGAGGGAGGACGGCGACGACGCGAACGACGAAGAAGGAAAAAGGACGGCGACGCCGACGACGGCAACGACGAGGGAGGAGGGAAGACGACGACGACGACGACGACAACGACGACGATGACGACGACGGCGAAATAGGAGGGACGACGACGAGACGCCGACGACGGGCGACGATGACGACGAGGGAGGAGGAGGAAGGACGGCCACGGCGACAACGACGACGGAAACGACCACGACGCCAAAGAGGACGACGACGACGAACACGAGGAAACACAGAGGACGACGTAGGCGACGACGGCGACGACGCGGGAGGAGGGAGGACGGCGACGACGACGACGACGACGATGTAAGAGCGCGCGCGCACGCTTTTGTTGAACATCCGTGTTGCGAAACTTTGTGTTTTTGTATGTTTTTTGGGCACGCGATTTTGACATCCTTCCGAAACCTATGGGTTTTGAAGGATTTCGGCGTATGCGCGCGACGACGCGCGCGTCTGCACTTCGCCCTCTTTTTTGCAAAGGATTCTCGCGACGGCACACGCGCAAGGGCGTTCGACAGATTTCGACATGCGCGCGCGCGAAGCCTGTTTGGTAGCATTTTGTAAAAATCTTGAAAGACCTATGGTTTTCTCAAGATTTCGCAAGAGCTCGCGCGGAAGTTTTTTTGGCAAATCTGTGTTGCGAAACCTTGTGAGTTTTGTAAGTTTTTGGGGCACGCGATTTTGAAATCCTTCCGAAACCCATGGGTTTTGAAGGATTTCCGCGTACGCGCGCGACGACGCGCGCGTCTGCACCTCGCTCCCTTTTTTGCAAAGGACTCTCGCGACAGCACACGCGCAAGGGCGTTCGACAGATTTCGACATGCGCGCGCGCGAAGCCCGTTTGGTAGCATTTTGTGAAATTCGGGAAAAACTTATGATTTTCTGAAGATTTCGCAAAAGTCCGCGCAACAGTTGTTTTAGCAATTCCGTGTTGTGAAACCTTGTGTTTTTCGTATGTTTTTTTGAAACTCGATTGCGAAATCCTTCCGACACCGAAGGTTTTTGAAGGATTTCGGCATGCGCGCGCGACGACGCGCGCGCGCGCACTTCGTTCTATTTTTTGCAAGGGATTAGTGAAAACATGCTATGCTAGAACACAACATGTCACTGCATAGTGTTTTTTTTTACAAGGGACCTCAGGGGGGGATACCGGTTGGCATTTGACATTCTGATTTCATATTTAGGATGGACATGTGGTCAGAACCATATATGATTTGCACACCCGAAAAGGGGGATCGATAACGCCAGGGGGGGGGAGATCCCGTTCTGCTTTTGGAAAGGAGAATGAATTCTGGTGCGAAATAAATTATGAAAACGTAGGAGTTGTCAACTCCGCTGGTCGCACAATCGCCACGCCCACTCACATGCAATTTGGCTTGCAGGACCTACGCAGCGGCTATTGCGATGAACGCGTACTGTTGACAGGTGCGCCTCTGCGGCCGCGCTAGCCCGCGCACGTTCGCGCACAGCGGCCAGCTAGTTTGGCGCGACCGACGCGGCCGCGGTGGCGCTGGCCGTTGGGCACTTTCCAACGGACACTTCAATGCGAATCGCTGACTTAAGTGGGCGCGGTATCATGGCGACGTCGAAAACGGTAGGCACGATGACAGGAATGGCGATGATGGTCACGATGATGTCGATCACGACTGCGAGGCCACTGACTGCGGCCGTGCTGATCATCCCGATGACGATGATGGCGCCCTCGCGTCGGCGATGAAGGATTTGTCAAGAATTCGACATGCGCGCGCGGCCGGCGCGCGCGAGTGGTCCGCGCGGCGATATTCGACAGGGGGCTTGCCCCCGCCCCCCCCGCCAGCGCGCGCGCGCAATGGCGTTCGAATGATTTCGCCATGCGGCGCGCGAGGCCCAGTTGATCGAACTTTATGACAATCTTGAAATACTTGCGGTTTCTTGATCATTGACAGGAGTGCGCGCGCAAATCTTTTCGCCAATTGAGGTTGCAAGACCATTTCTGTGCGCGTGTTTCCGGGGCGTTCGATCTTTGCACCCCTGCGAGGCCCGAGGTTTTTGAAAGATCTCGGCGCGCGCGCTCGACGGCGCGCGCGGGGGCGCTCTCTCCCGCCATTTGCGCGGGAATGTTGCGACAGCGCGCGCGCAAGGGCGCCGCGATGATTCCGACGCGCGCGCGATGCACGTTTGGTAGAACGCGATTTTCTTCGGGGCTCGCAAGGGCGAGCGCGCGCATGCTTTTTATATCGCAAGTAGAAAGATATGGCGAGACCATTGTTCGTGGCAGACAGTCTTTTCGCGGCGCTCGATGTTGAAATCCTTGCGACACCAGCGGTTTTTGACGATTGCAGCATGCGCGCGCGACGACGCTTTGGCGTGCGCATCGCCCGGATTGTTCGCAATCGGTGATTTCAAACGGCTGCTTTTTGATCAGCGAGCGCGCGCGTACTTTTGGGTCCAAGGGATGAGGGGGGGGGGGGGGGGCGATCAGCGAATGCCTGAGACGGTGGGGATGCATTTTTAGAACTAACGAGTGCGCAGAATCATGCGCGACAAAAACAATCTGAAGAAAAGCGCGCCGTTGAGTCCGTGGTGGGGGGGGGGGGGGGGGGCGGTCAATCCCTATACTTTTAAAAGGAAACTGGCAGGTTGAAAAACTTGGTGTTGTCTACTCCGCTTCTCGCGCAATCATCCCGTCCGCCCGCCCGCGACCTGGTTTGCAAAAGTCATGCGGCGGCGATTGCGACGAATGCTTGGCGCTGGCTGGCGCATCGCCGCGGCCGCGATAGCCCGCGCGTGCTCGCGCGCGCAGCGGCCAGCTTTTTTGGCGCGGCCGACGCAGCCGCGGTGGCGCTGGCCGCTGGACATTATCCAGCGCGTCTCGCAGGCCGCGCTGGCGCGCGGGCGCCGCAGTGCAGGCTGGGGCGGGCGCGGTATCGCGGCGACGCAGGCAGCGCCAGACACAGTGAGGATAGCAACGGCGATGGTGACGACGATGGCGATCACGACGGCAAGTCCAATCACTGCGCCGGCGCTTGTCACGCCAGCGACGACGATGGCGCCCGCGCGTCGGCAATGGAGGTTTTGGGATGAGTTCGGCACGCGCGCGCGGCCGACGCGCGCGAGTGGCCCGCGCGGCATCATTTGATGGGCATGTGCCCTCACCCCAGCACGCGCGCAAGGCCATTCGAATCCAAATGATTTGGGCATGCGCGAGCGAGGTGCTCGTTTGATCGCAGTGCGCGTGGCTTTCGAACAGCCTGTACTCTTTTGAGAATGTGCAACGGCGCGCGAGCAGCAGTTGTTTGATTCTCCCTTCTCCGTTTAGAGAAGAAGAATCGGCGCGCCCGCGCCTCGCCCCGTCTTCTTCAAAGGGCTCTTGCGGCAGCGCGCGCGCGAGGGCGTCGCAATCATTTTCGGCCCGCGTGCGCGAGAACCGCGTTTGGTAGCGGGTTGCAAATATGTTGAGCGAAAATAACGATGTCTGAAGAATTCGCATGGGCGCAAGCGCGCCTTTTTGAAAGATCATGTTGCGAATCCATCGATGACTTCAAATGTTTCTGGCTCGCGCGATGTTGTACCCCTTCCTGAATCTGGCGCTGCTCTGAGATTTCGGGGCGCGCGCGCGCGCTCCGCCGCGTTTTTCGCGAGGGGCTTTTGCGAGAGCGCGCGCGCGTGGGCGTTTGAATGATTTCGACATGCGCTCGCGAGTGGCACGTTTGGCGCCATTCGATGGGCGCGCTGAAAAAAATAATGGTTTTCTCGAGAAGTCACAAGAGCGCGAGTGCACGTTTTTTTTTTTTTTTGAAGCTTCCTGCTCCGAAACCACTTGC